AGAGAGAGAGAGAGAGAGAGAGAGAGAGAAAGATGACATGCCAATCTCCGTCATATTTTATCCAGCTTTATCACAAGGACCAACAGGTGTTGAAACAAAGCTTCTGTCAAGTCTTCAGTGATAACACGTATAAATACTGATAAACAGCATTGACGTACACCGATAAACTGCATGTAGGCCTTTGCCTATAATTCCCATGTTACCGATTAGGAAATGTATCCTTTCGTTCTCTGTCAATTAATTTGAAATATCTTGTTATTTCGAAATACAAGGTTAAAATCCCCAAAAGTTTCACCACATTATCTAGCCATTGCACCCCTCTGTTGTTTAAAACCCTTGTTTATGTGACAACCAGCCGCAGAATAGATATGATATGTTATTATTCTAATGCATTGATTACTTTTATTATAAATATTATTATTGAGTCGATGCAAGAAGAACAGGACAAAATTTTTAATTCATCTTTTGTAGAAGCATTTCACGATCCGGAACGGAAGTAGAACTTTTAAAGGGTGTTCTCAAGATGGCTGAAAATTATCTCTTGTTTGTCTCTGCATTAGGTATTGTTTTGCCTATATGCACAATGGCAGCCCACGAAAAAGGCATAGCGCCTGCATACGAAACTCGGGCCGTCCTGCAACACAGGACTGATAGTTTAACGATTTTGATGTTGCTAGGTCTCCTATTAATGACTATCTTAACTGTGTGGCTGTTCAAACACCGGAGATTTCGTTTCGTTCATGAGACAGGCTTATCGCTAATTTATGGTAAGAAGTTTGTGTGTGACGAATCATGAAATGCAGCTAGTCTAGGGTTGTTGTTTTTTTTAACTTTCCGCTACCTGGATAGACTCTAATGTAATTTAGAAACGAATGTTTTCGTTCATTTTTATTTTATTTACATCCCAAGATTACTTCTGGTGGACCTTGTTCACATTCACATGATCATGATGATGTCAGTGTTGTTGTCTAGACAACCTGATACCTCTACTGGTACGAAAAGCAATTTGACTTAAAAAGAGGTTAGAATACTTGATGAACTATTCGTCCAGGAAGAATTTTCTTCATTCTATTTCGAGTCATAGATCATCCTCATGACCATATGAATGAATATGAGAAGGCCACTATTCTTGCTGTGTGACTGTGTTTAGCCTTTTAGGCTAAGGAAGTGGCTATTCTCATCCGGGGTGAGAATAGAAAAACGATCTACCTCTCACCCCGGGTGAGACTTGCCAGCGTAGGCTAT